AAACATTCACAGAAATACCTTTCACTCGGTACATCGTTTTTGTGTAGAGAGTCGCTCGTTTTAGCGGCGTTTTGGTCCCCAGATGTGAGAAGATGCAAATCTTCAGAGATTTCAACCAGTCGCCAGTTCTTTCAATATTCTCCCCTATATTTTGCACAAGGACTCCCATTACAAGCCTCCATCTCTGCATCAACATTTACATTAAACGCAGCAATTTCCAAAAGTCCTACGCATCTGTTCAAAATTGATCAAAACGCCCCGTTCTCTTCCAAAACGCCCCGTTGGATCTATACACCTTGAAACTATACGTTTGTAGTCATAGACTCTGCGGAGCGTTTTGGAAGACAACGGGGCGTTTTGGTCAATTTCGAACAGTTGCGTAGGACTTTTCAGAATTGCTGTGTTTCATGTAATGAACATGTTGATGCAGCGATGGAGGCTTGTAATGGGAGTCCTTGCGCAGAATATGGGGGAGATCGAGATATCAAGGATTGTGGTTGAAATCTCTGAGGATTTGCAACTTCTCACATCTGGGGACCACAACGCCGCTAAAACGAGGGACTTTGTAAACAAAAGCAATGTCTCGACTGAAAGGTATTTCTGTGAAGGTTTTAATGGAACAAGTTTGAAGAAAAACTGTGTAGTGTGAGACTCACAATCATTGATTTTCCAAAGACAGGGTAGATTTGAAATTCAAATTAACGGTTTTGCGGGGCGTTTTGGTTTCGATACGCCCCGGTGAGTTAGTACCTCGTGATTATATCAGTAACAAATACATAATTAAAAAATAAAGCATTGAGTTCTGGTTTATTATAAAAGTATTGTGATATCCTAATCTGAACGATGTCTCAGGGGAAAGGTTTCAGCAAATACTCATAACAGATTATTTTTGAAAGACAATTGATCTGTACTTATTTTCAATTTGTGCCAGACAAACATATTGATATCATTAGAGACTTGCGAGTGAACAAATCAATATTTAATACCATATGATTCCAATGTTATATGAACATTATGTCTGTCATTTCAATTCGTTAAAGTGATAGATCATCTACATGATCTAAGATGGTGAGTAAAAACGTGTAAAATCCATATTTTGTATTTCAGTAAATGTTTCATTCATGGTATTTCCAAACATCCTGATATCTAAAAAAAAGCTGGTTAGAAGGTGAATAAAAGTGGAGATATGAATATTGTGTTCGTATTTTGAATCAATCTAGATTTATTGTAAAAGAGTTGTAAAAGAGTAGTACATGTATTCATATACATGTACATTTTGCTGAAACATTAAACTCCAAAGTTGCTGTCAGTCCATTGTAGGCATGGACAAACTGTAATTATCAAAAGCACTCTTGCAGTAAAATATGTATTTACAATAACAACAACAATATGACCACGTAAACATTGTATTAATATATAGAAAACCGCATTGTATAAAGGTTTAACTACCGCATTTTTCAAAATCTACTGAAAAATACCGCATTTTGGCAAATCTTCCGCAAAACTACCGCTTTTTTCAAATTTCTACCGCAAAATTACACTTTTTTCAAAAATCTACCCCAAACCTCTGAAACTACAGTATTTTTTTAAAATCTACCGCCAAAACTACCATATTTTTTAAATCTACCGCAAAAACTACCGTTTTTTTTAAAATCTACTGCAAAAACTACCGTTTTTTCTAAAATCTACTGCAAAAACTACCGCAATTTTGTTGAAAAATACCGCAAAAACTACCGTATTTTGAAAAAATCTACCGCAAAAATACAGCAATTTTAAAAAAATCTACCGCAAAATTTTGGTCTTAGGTTGGCAGGTATGAATTAAGAATATTGGCATCAAAGACAGTGCATATCACTTTGTCAGAATTGAAAAAAATCAATGGCAAATATTAAATGAATTATCTATACAAAAAGTTTGAAACATATCCTCCAAAACATTGCTTACTTTTTTTGAATAGACATTGAATGGTATTTCTGGATAAGTGAATTGGTGTTTATATGGGTAATCAAGGGATTATAGTCACTTAAAGTTACTGAGCATCCAGTTTTGAAACTTTAATTGTGTTGGTGAAGTTGCACATATTTCAGTCAAATTCATGCTGAGGACAACATTTTGGTTTCAATTTTATAATCTCTATACATGACCCTGGTGATGAAGAGTCAGAATCAGTCAAAAAACCTAAACCGGAAAACTGTGCTCATTGTGAAAATAAAATTGAAGCAACTTTTTTCTGATATTTCTTCAAATTAAACTAGCGGGAAATTCAAAAATTTGAGAAAAATTTTAATCCTTAAATATATTTCAAAAATATGATTTTCTTTTTATTAATTCTTCATAGGTCTTTAGTTATTTCTTCTTTGTAAGTCATACATGTTGCCATTGGTGTTTTTTTCTATGATAATGACTATTTTTTTGTTTGTTAAGATACTTATTCGGACCCTCAGCAGGGGGTTAATTATGCATCTGAACTCGTGAAAAAGTAAATATACTTATCAACCAGAACAACGGCAACGCCAAAGCGTAGTGAATCCCATCAAACAGCCATGGATGGCATTTTTACAAACAAAGGATATAGCAAAAATGGCAGCCATTTTTCAAAATGGCCGCCTTCTTCCAAAAGTGTCATAAGACCATGTGCCATGCTTATAGTATTCATATACCAAATATGAACAAAATCGCTCCACTACTTTTCAAGTTATAGTAAAATACGTTAAAATGGCGGCCATTTTAGCAAAAGTTCCATTAGACAGTGTGCCGTGCTTATAGTATTCACATACCAAATATAAACAAAATCGCTCCACTACATCTCGAGTTATAGTAAAATACGTTAAAATGGCGGCCATATTGAAAAATGAGTGTTATTAGACAGTGTGCCATGCTTACAGTATTCACATACCAAATATGAACAAAATCGCTTCACTACTTTTCGAGTTATAGTAAAATACGTTAAAATGGTGGCCATTTTTCAAATTTTTTTTCAAAATGGCCGCCTTCTACCAAAAGTGTCATATGACAGTGTGTCATGCTTATAGTATTCACATACCAAATATGAACAAAATCGCTCCACTACTTTTCGAGTTATAGTAAAATAAGTTAAAATGGTGGCCATTTTGAAAAATGGCGGCCATTTTTCAATTTGTCAAAATGGCCGCCTTCTACTTAAAGTGTCTTTAGACAGTGTGCAATGTTTATAGTATTCACATACCAAATATGAACAAAATCGCACCACTACTTTTCGAGTTACAGCAAAAATCGTAAAAAAAACGAGTAAAGACCGCCATTTTTCAAGATGGCTGCCATGTGCTTCTTTAATATCTACATTTCTAGCTTTATTAATGTCCTATATAATTTTTTTACATCTAAAACATATTGCTATTACAGTTTTACATATTGCACCTAAATTACTGTAAATTCGGCACTAAAATGGCCGCCATTTTGAAATGAGCGACCATTTTGAAAATCAGCTTTCGAGCAGAACTTCTACCCCCATAGGGTATATGTGTACAAAATATGAATAAAATCGGGCCGACGGTATTTGAGTTATTGCCCGGACGAACATACGTACGGACGGATGGACGGACGAACGGAGGCGTTCCCTATATCCCTCCGAACTTCGTTCGATGGGATAAATATAACTAGGACAGTAATAAATGACATATTTCACATACATTTGACTGAGGGACCAAAAAGGGCATATATCCGGACACATCCTTGAGTAATTTGTTTATTTTTGTCTTAAGGGTATGGTGTACATTGCCTAATGACCTCGGTGTATATATATGTAACCTATATACGATCATAAAAAGCCAATTGAGCATTGGAAACCACCTAATACTGTATAAGTGGTATTTAATCCGAGTGGTTAATTTTCCGAATGGTCAAATTTCATCATTTTCCTAATTACAAGAAACCTCCCATTGGATAACATTATAAAGACAATATTTCCGACATTTAATTTTCCGAACCTGGCAAAAATTAGGAAATAGGCAAATTAAATGATTAGGCAAAATTACCACTTATACAGTATGTTCTACTCAAGCCATAATAATGTATTTTGAATTTGCGGTTACGCAAAAAATTGATGGACGGTTACGCAAAAAATTGATGGACGGTTATGCGAACCTCGTTCAAATATGTATCCCCGATCCATTGTTATTAATTTTGATATATTCATCAGTACTTGATGCTAATTATTGTTTTGCCTCTTCATTGCTAGTTTCATAAATAAAGCAAGACGCAATTTTTTCCTTGCCCTATAGAGGCTCAAACAAGGGCGTCTCTTAGGAGTCCTGAAAACAAATATAAGCAATTCAATATTCTTTTTCTTGCACATTATAACAATGACATGGAAAGAGGCTATCAGAACTAGCAACCTTGACTTGAAAGGTGTACATGCATGTAACCATCCGCTAAATATGTAATGTAAAACTAATACAATACGTTACCGTCCATAGAATTCATACGTAGTCGTCTAACGACATTGCGTTTGACAATATACACCTCTTTCCTGTTCTGGATTTGTCATTTTATAGCTTGTTCATACATTAAGTTTACTTACAGTTAATAGTCTAAGTTGCTTTGAGGCACATATTCTGAGAAAACACAAGAATGGACTAAAAATTATGAACTTTGATATCTCAGTCGGTAAGCTTAAAGCTTATATTCTGCTTCTAGTAAACCACCTGGCAGATTTGACAATATACGTCACCGAATGGAACTAGTTGAAAAGGATATCCTATCTGTGAATCTTGCCTACAGGCGAGAAAGAGGACATGCTGTCTTTCCCATCTGCCATTTTTTGTTATCGTACCGCAAAATTTTGCAAATCGCCTTGACGTAACCGTCATGCTATAACACAGTGAGTTTTTAAGAAGAAAATCATGACAGTCCATATATTGTACATTTATGTAGCTTTCAAAAAGCCTGGTGCTTTTGTAATTTGAGACATCTCCTCCAGGAGAATTTGTTTTTTTTAGAGAGAATATGGTATGGAATTTTACCTTGCACTGTCTTTTTTGATGGCATCCTCACATGACGGAACACCACAGAATGGGGCCTGTATGATATTTTTCTTGTCCAGAGAGTTGCAGAATTCATTCCAATCATGTGAGACTGCTAGGTGCTGGTCCAGGTCTCTTTTGGCCCTGAAAATAACTTTCATCATTGAAGAATAAAAAACAACTAGATTGGTGACTCCAGATAGACTCCAGATAGACTCCAGATTCCAGATTTTAATTCAAAAAATGATTTTGACATCTAATATTGATAAGAAAATGAGAAAGAAAATATACATGTTCATCACAACTTTCAAAGCAAAATGTGATCAAAAGTTAGGTAGTCTCAAAAATAACAAAAATGACCTAGATTTGACCTTGACCCTTAGCACTCAAAATTTTACTGAATTTTTGATGATTTGCTATTGATAACTGTTGACTTAACATCAGGTTGCTACATTGGTGGCAGCGGCGGTAGGGATTTTTAGAGATTTCAAAAGGCCATAGCTCCTGAACCGGATGTCGGATTTCACTTTCAATTTCAGTTTCAGAATCTTAAGAAAATTTCCTATTAAAAACACATGCCAAATTGGATAGTTGTGGATCATTTTTAAATTCAATTTTTTTTTAAAGTCAAATTCCCCAAAATTGATAAAATTTTCAAGACATAGATTTAGCAAAATGTTTAAAACACTTAAGGGAACCTAGAAAACAATTCATGTAAATAAATATTGAAAGATAAAAACAAAAAATTCAAAATTTGTGAAATAAGAGAAATTGACCTACAATTTGACCTTTGACCTAGATAAAATTTTGGTCTAATTTCCGAGTGGGCCACTCACATACCCTAACTTATGGTATAATCAGATTTATCCAAAATCTTCTTGTTACTGAGAAAACATGCTAGTAAGAATAATAATAACTAGATTTGTAGAATTGAACAATTTCAATTCAAGATTCCAGATTTTATTTTAATTTTAAAATTATTTTGACATTTGATATTAACAAGAACAACGGCAACGCCAAAGCGTAGTGAATACCATCGAACAGAAGTGGCTGGCATTTTTATAAATGAAATATATAGCAAATATCATAAAATAACACACATAAGAAAGGCCACCATTTTCAAAATGGTTGCTCACTAGCCAAGTTGTCATCAGAAGAGGTTATATGCTTTTATTATTTTTCTATATATAAAATCTTTAAAAAATCATACTTTGAATTTGGAGAACCTTCGTTTTGACCTACATTCGGGACACCATATTTCAATATCTGTAAGAGTAATCAAAAAACGGATGGCACATTATGAAAGGGCTGTTTCTAAGCTACATGATGAAAAAAAGAGTTTTGACAAATAACGATGAAAATAATTGATAGGATGTTATAAATGTAAGATTTGACCTAGTTTTGGACCTTTTTGACCATATACAGGTCTTGACTCAATGTCTTCTAGATGTTGAAAAATGTGTGTAGATGGATGGATTGAATAAGGAAGGATAGGATAGAATACCGACCCACCGAGTAGGTCAAAATACCCGTTGATGGCGAAAGGCTAACAGTATAAGCATACTATGTGCTATCTGTATACAAAAATTTGAGGAATACCAGATTATCATCTGGAGTCTAAAGAAAAACTTTGAATTTGACCTAGATTTTGACCAAGGCATTTTGGTGTCCTAATTTTGAAACTGGGTGGCTTTTGAGGCCCCCTTTTTTATAGGCTACTTTCAAATTCTGGACGCCATATCTCAAAACTGGTAAGAGATATCAAAAAATTAAATCGACAAATCGACATTATGTTTTCCTACTGTTTCCAACAGATTTCATCTGGAGTCTAATAAGAATAAGAAAAGAGGCAAAAACAATAGACATCAGATTTCACTGAGTCTAATAAGAATAAGAATTCAGGTAAAAACAATAGACTAGTCTAAATAAGAAAAGCCAGCACTTCCATGTACATGTAAGCATTTTAGCTGAAGACCTTATGGTTATTGAGAAAATGTGGGTAAAATTATAACTGTATTATTACTTAGTGTATAGTTTAGCATTGTCATGAGCCAAGACTTATTACTTGTTAGCCTGTACGTAAACATAGAGATTTTGACCAGGACATGATACCAGTATTTGTGTTATAATTAAAAAAAAAATTCTCCTGGAAAATGGTAGCCATTTTGAAATCAGTAACCATCTTGAAATTTCCTCTTGGTCATAAGTCCAATGTCAATATATATAACCATGGGTACTGGGCTCACATGGTGTAGTATCTCACTTACTGTCTAACTGACAGCCTTACTAATATAACTTCAAAAGTTCCACATGTGTATACATGTACTTGTTTGGTCATACCTCTCATAGAGATTTTGTTGAATTGTTTCCAGCAGATCTGTTATGACTTTTACACCAACCTCCTCTTTGATAACAGTTTTTTCGCCAGTGTCTCTTCTGACTGCCACAAACTGGCCCTGTTTCATATCCCTAGGTCCAATTTCAACACGTATCGGTACACCCTGTAAGTAAATATACATTTGATCAGCAAAAACATTTTTGTTTTTATTGTAGAATAATACAAAGTTAATTATCAAGATGCCTCTTTCTATTTCAGCACATAATCTTACACCCTAAACTTAGGCTTACGGACAACTCATCCCCTAGACATCTAATCCCCTGGACAACTCATCCCCTAGGCAACTCATCCCCTAGGCAACTCATCCCCTGGACAACTCATCCCTTTGCCAACTCATCCTCTGGACAACTCATCCTTCATCACATGAAACTAAATTGTAAAGTGTTTCTTGAAAATAAATACTTGGTAAATACATCTTAGATCATTCAAAATATTATTTTTTACTTTACTGACACAAATAAACAGTCAAACGATGCCATTAAAATTCTCATCTCTTATTCTTATATTACATGACCCAATATTTCCTGACCAAACAATTAAAGTTCTCTTTCACTGGTGATCCACTCGATTACAAAATGTCGGAACGTCGAAGGCACGATTTTTCTTTTTTCCTTATTTCACGCGTTGTAGGCAGAATCCCCACCACTTTTTTTCCCACAACGTGCATCAGTATCATATGTTTTAGAAAATGTACATGTTTGCGAAAAAATAGCTCAGAGGACAACAGAATCGTCGATTTACTTCCTCACTTAAGTTACATAAATGGTTTTTCGAAAAACAGTTAAGATCTGCACTTTTAACCCAAACCGTTTATGTAACTTAAGTGAGGAAGTAAATCGACGATTCTGTTGTCTTCTGAACTATTTTTTCACAAATATGTACAATTTCTTAAACATACACTGTATGGTACTAAAAAATGTCATGGGAATTCTGCCTACAACGTGTAAAATAAGGAAACAAGAAAAATCGTACCTCCCGGATGTTCCTACATTTTGTTACCAAAACGAACTGTTTTGGTAACCACACCAGCGTATCGAGTGGATCACCAGTGTCTTTGTGCATAACTTAAACATGAACTTCATTGACTTCATCTGTGAATGTTGTGAAAAAATAATTTTGGATTAAAGAATATTTGAGCTATGAACAACAAACATATTATAACATCAAAGGAGCTTCTTCAATCAATGTTAATGCAGAGACATTATATAATGATGTTTTATATGTCTCTGGTTAAATATCATATCAAATGTAAAGTAAATATTTACAAAACAAATCACAGATTAATTGGTTTAAAATCATCTCTTTGTCTTTTAGCAATTTTCCCCTCCAGAAAGTTTTTGCTTATCACTGGTACTCTACTAGATTATGCTGGTTACCGAAACAGATAGTAACAAAATGTCGGAACCTCAAAGAAACGATCGATTTTGATTTTTACATTATTCAGCTTTTGCAGGCAGAATTCCTAAGACATTTTTATCACAAACGTTTGTCGGTATCATATGTTTAAGAAAATGTACATGTTTGCAAACAAATAGTAAAGAAGACAACAGAATCATTGATTTAATATCCCACTATTGTTACATAAGGGAACGGGTTAGAAGTGCAGATGTTAACCGTTTTAGAAGTTCTGTTTACATAAAGTAAAAAAGCGAGATATAGAATGTCATGGGAATTCTTTTTATTAATATTGTAGTATAGCCAGGGTATCAAATAATATGATGGATATGAATGTATGTCTTAGGATTGAAGTAGTAGGTAGTGTGTATAGATGTATGGAATGTGTGATATTATGGGATTAACAGCTACTGGAATACAGCATTATTATTGCTATAAGCAGCAATATTCATGAGTTACCAATATAGTGGGTCACTCTGTACAGCATTACAAATGTGACAAATAAAGCGACACACTGCATACAATGATTTAACATTGATTGATGAGCATGAGTTGCACCAATTTGAACGAATAAACGCTGCCAGCAGACAATTAAACACGTCATGCAAGATTGACAATATGGATATTGAGTGGGTACAGCCATGTGGGTTCAAACCACGTGTAACGCACAATCACTGCAATCAGTCACGCGGTGAAGTACTTTAAAAAACAAGCTGAAAACTAGCTGTTATTGATAGCATCACAAACATGTTAAACATAATGTATATGTTGTGCAATTTTAAAATAATATGGATCGAATATCGAACTATAGGTCCTAGAATTTTTATATAATTTCATAAAGAATTCAATTAATTTTAGACATTTTTCTTGAACTAAAATCAATGCGACTGGGTACCACTGGGTGCCATTTTAGAGGTATTTCCCTACGACGTCGCAGGAAATTCTACCGATCGCAGTGGCACGAGATTGATGAATAGGACGTAATGGCTAAAAAGGGCCCTTGCAACATCGCAGGCTTGCGACGTACTTGAGATAGCTTGACCCCTCTGATAAACAAATTTAATGACCAATCAGATAACATTTTTCCCAGTTTATTCAAAATTCAGATAATTATTTTCAACGAAAACCAGAACAACGGCAATGCCAAAGCGTAGCGAATCCCATCGAACAGAAATGGTGGGCATTTTTACAAACAAAATATATAGCAAATATCATAAAATAACACCTATGAGAAAGGCCACCAACTTGTCATCAGAAGAAGTAATATGCTTTTAAGTAGCCAAATATAAATTTTTTTAAATATGAACAAAATCGCTCTATTACTTTCTGAATTATAATAAAAAATGTAAAATAACACACATAAAAATGGTGGCCATTTTTCAAAATGGCTGACTACCCCCAAAAGTTTTATGAGACGATGTGCCATGCTTAAAGTATTCACATATCAAATATGAACAAAATCGCTCCAATACTTTTCGAGTAATAGTAAAAAATGTAAAATTGACAGCCATTTTTTTAAAATGGCCACCTACTACACAAAGTGTAATGAGACAGTGTGCAAGGCTCATAAGTATTCACATATCAAATATGAGCAAAATCACTCCACTACTTTTCAAGTTATACTAAAAAATGTAAAAAAAATGGTGGCCATTTTCAAAATGGCTGCCTACAACCCAAAGTGTCATTAGACAGTGTGCCATTCTTAAAGTATTCACATATAAAGTAAGAACAAAATCACTCTTCTACTTTTTGCGTTATAGTAAAAAATGTAAAATAACACACGTAAAAATGGGGGCCATTTTTCAAAATGGCCGCCTACTACCCAAAATGTCATTAGACATTGGGCCATGCTGAAAGTATTCACATACCAAATATGAACAAAATCACTTCACTACTTTTCAAGTTACAGCCAAAATCGTAAAATGACGTGCAAAGGCAGCCATTTTTCAAGATGGCTGCCATGTATTTCTTCTGTATTTACATTTCTAGTTTAATCAATTGTCCTATATAACTTTTTTACATTTAAAACATTTTGCTATTACAGTTTTATATGCAGTACCTAAATAACTGTAAAATCGGCACTAAAATGGCGGCCATTTTTAAATGAGCGGCCATTTTGAAAATCGGTTTTCGAGCAGAAGTTCTACCCCAATTGGGTATATGTGTACGAAATATGAACAAAAAAGGGGCCAACGGTATTTGTCAAGTTATTGCCCGGTGGATGTCATTTGTTGTTGCTGCATTAGTTTCTTCATTCATTGTCTTCTTTCTTCGTCTTGATTTGATTGTGATGTTAGTTATCTTTCTTCAGGGTCCACAGACTTGAGACTGTGCGTAGGTGGGTTAAACGTTTTGATCCGACCGGAAAACTCTCCCCTTCCCCTTTCTGATGTTCTTATGCTGATTTGCTTCTTAGTTTACCCTCTTTGCGGAGAATATACTGTTTCATATTCATTTGTTAATGTTCTCTTCTCTCATTAATTTTCCAGTGCTTCATGATGATATTCTCCTGCATATTGTATTTAATACATATCCATTTATTTCTGTATGTTACTCCTATAACCTTGACATCGGAAAACCTTCAAAATGGCTGCCAGAAAACAAGATGGCCAACCAGAAGTTAATTGGCTTTGGAATTTGATATCCTCTATCATGTGTGCGAATTCGGAGAAAACCTGATGAGCGGTTTTCCTAAAATGGGAATGACAAGATTTAGCGAAAAACCTTCAAAATGAACACCAGAAAACAAGATGGCCGCCCAAAAGTTAATCAGCTCTAGAACTTCAATATCCTCTACATGAGTGTGAATTTGGAGATTATCAGGGGGGTGGTTTTCCTGAAATGGCTATGACAAGATTTATAGAAAAACCTTCAAAATGGCCACCAGAAAAAAAAAATGGCCACCCAAGAGTTAATCAGCTCGAGAACTTTCAGTTTTTTCAGTAGGCTTGTCCAAGGTTGCATCCCTGAGACGTAATGATTTTCAAAAAATGCATCTCCCCTCAAAAAAAACTGCGTCCCTGAAAAAATGTTCAAGTGAATTCAAAGTCAATACGGAAATCGAGTATTGGATAACTATTTGTCCTATCTCATGCCTCATACTATTTCTATCAGAAATCAACTTCCAGGAGGGAAACTTCTTAAGAAAATTTTATTTCTTTTAGATGGATTCTGAAGAAATAAAGAGACTCAAGGTAAGATCTTTATCAAATCATTCATCCAAAGTTGATTTAACGCATATGACTTGCACTGTATCCAAAAGACGCAGTTCATTTTTATTTCCGGGTTCAACATATTTTCCTTGCGTTTTTTCAATGCTTGGACGGCGTTATTGAAAACACAGACTTTATCCTCTATCATGTGTGCAAAGGTACCGTCCCAACAGACCCCCTTTTCTGCCCCCATCAGAATCAAACTTATTTTGCATCTAGAGTATCCTCACAAATGTACTGCACAATAATAAATTGAGCCAATGAGGTCACTGGGTGCAAAAGGGTCAAGTTGGTAAAATCAATCTAATGATCAAGTTATTTCCTTAAACATACCTGAATAAAATAAAATCACAAATTAAACCTGACTTTACATTGATTTCCATGGGGAATAGGTATCTTAATAGCCTTTTAGTAGTATTTGCACCGTACTTAACACAAGGAAAATGTTAGAAATTTTTTTAGTCAAAATACATGTACTGGTATACTGTCAAAATATTGTATTGTAATATATTTGATATTAATCTTCTAAAGCTTTGATACAACATATTAGTATTTATTATAGTTGCCGAAAGTTGAATGTACAGTTTCTCAGGGGTCGGGTCAAAATATCGATGTCCGCCAAAAAACAAAATTGATTTACATGTATTTAGTTTTCAACCCCCCATGTAACGAAACCAAAAATGTTGAAAATTATATTCCCGGGAAAACCATAATCGATGTCCGCCACCTAATGAAATCAGGGTTTGACCCCCTCCCCCTAACGAAATTAATTACGTTTTTTGACTGACATCGATATTTTGACCCGACCCCTAATGACACATATTTGGTCACTGATTATACATATCAACTCCCTATCATTTAATCTTCTTGTCACAAACAATGCACCTCTTCTTAGACTTTGTAGTCATGAGAAAGGGGATTTGTATCTTCATATCTGGATTATTATTATTATGTTTTTTCACCTTCATATGCTGGTTGGGGAGGGTTACAAGGAATGTTTTTGGGTCCTGTGAGTGTAATCCGGCATTTGTAACATATAACTGATATTTTTCTTTCTATAATTTGCCAAGAGTGTTAGATTTAGCTACTTTTCTCCTAAAGACAGCTGGACTCTGTTTATCACATCAAACACAACTATACGTTTTGATAGGTGGCATTGTATCCAAAATGGTGGCAGAAATGTTTTAGAAAAATACCAAAGAAGTCCAAAAAACTATATGAGCTGTGTTCTCCACCACTTTTTTTGCAACTGAAAATGATGCCTAATTCAATTTTGGATCTGTACAGCTAAAAATAAAAGTGGTGGAGAACATGGTTCATGTTCAATTGAGATGGGTAAATAATGGGGGTCTGGATTATAATCTGCCATGATGGGAGTGGTTACAGAAATGGGCCAGAAATCATATTTTTTACAAAAATATTCACTATATTTTTTAAGAAAATGAAAATACATGTACACATATTAGTCAAGAATATTTTGAATAAAATCTTTAATTGCGTTTTCATGAAATTTTCTAAGTCCTTAAAGGAATCCCAATAAGACTGTACCTTTAGAGAAAATCGGAACAGTGGTTTTGATGAAATGGTGATGACAAGATTTATCAAAAAACCTTCAAAAATAAGATCCCATTATATAGGCACTGGTCAGTATCTATCGAAGGTAATGGCAGTCACATTCGCATTTAAGATGGGAGACGGGAAGTGTCAATTTCATCAAATTAAACAACTTTATAGTTGACATAATGCTTTGATATTTGATTTAAACCATGCTTATATGAAATGGAAACTCTGGAATATGATCAATTGTTCTTTTGGTCTCATTTAGTTTTCTTTATTATTGCAGGTCAATCCACAAAAATTCACATAATCGTAAAATGATTATTTGTGAGTGTTAAAGATAAAAATATGTATGTATAAATTTTTGTCATGGTCAATATCTATATACTGCATGTGTCATAAAAATTTCAAAATTTTCAGCTAAACATGTCTCCCTTGGATAATATAACTTAATTAGCTAATTTTCAAATCTGGCACAATATGTCTCAAAACCTATCATTTAAGCCATGTATGACTGTCAAATACAGCTCAGACTGATTGTTTGGTGGATTGGAGGACATGTTCAAGAACATTTTCCCATCCATTGTAACTTTTTTTATAGTCATGTATTATCTTTAATACATTAGGAAATTGAAGAACAATTCATTCTCAAGGAAATTGTGTTGAGATCATTTGAAGGGTATATATTGTATAGCATGAAATTTCAGCATTGATATCCAAAAAAGAGAAAAAAAGAGGAAATTTTTCATGACACATGCAGTATACAGATCATGGCCATGACAAGCCAAAAATAATTATACATACATGTACATATCTTTACCTATAACATTTTCACAAATAATCATTTAACTATTCATCTTTCAATGATTCTAGCAAGGTGTACTCCCCAAAGTCCAAAGGTATCCATCAAAAATAGTATGAAATATTTGTTTTATTATTCACTGTTATTTTCTCTTTTTGGGAATGTCTTAAGAACAAGAATGATTTACTTTCATCTGACCTTTTATCATATAATTATGCAATTGATTTTAGATTTACATTGGATGAAAAATGCCATGGCTGGTGAATATCTTTCTATACACCTTTTTACTGAAGTCAAAGTAATTGGCCAATAAATGTCTTCTTATTTTTAAAACAAGTGTAATGTATAGATCAATAAGAGAGTGGGAATATGACAGTTAAAAATTATGTAGTTTGCCTAAATGTACTTGTAATGGACTTGATCTTTTCTCACCTTAAGCTCCCAGTTGTTAAACTTCCATCCTGGAGAATAGTTATCTCTGTAGTCTCCCTTCACTCTGATTCCAGCTGCTTGAAGGCCATTTGCAACTTGCTTAGCTTTGTCCATCAGTTTCTTACGTTCAGCATCTGACAGACTAGCAGTTATTCCACATGGTACAATTACTACCTATATACAGAATATGTTTGTGTCAATCCATTTCAAAACACATGTAACAAGGCATTAACATGACAAAATGTCACCACCTAAAGGTCAATTTGAAGCAAGTTGAAAACAGACCTTTTTGACCTTTTTTGACCTTGAGAAGGTCATTAAAGGTGAAATGTCAAATCTAGAGTCAGATTTGAATTTCTGAGAACATGTAGATGATTTTGAAAAAAAAAATTAGTCAATTTGAAGCAAGTTGAAAAAAGACCTTTTTGACCTTGAGAAGGTCATTGAAGGTAAAATGTCAAATCTAAAGTCATATTTGAATTTCTGAGAACATGTAGATGATTTTGAAAAAAAAATTTAGTCAATTTGAAGCAAGATGAAAAAATACCTTTTTGACCTTTTTTGACATTGAGAAGGTCATTGAAGGTCAAATGTCAAATCTAAAGTCAGATTTGAATTTCTGAGAACATGTAGATGATTTTGAAAAAAAAATTTAGTCAATTTGAAGCAAGTTGAAAAAAGACCTTTTTGACCTTTTTTGACTTTGAGAAGGTCATTGAAGGTCAAATGTCAAATCTTAAGTCAAATCTAAAGTCAGATTTGAATTTCTGAGAACACGTAGATGATTTTGAAAAAAAAATTTAGTCAATTTGAAGCAAGTTGAAAACAGACCTTTTTGACCTTTTTTGACCTTGAGAAGGTCATTGAAGGTCAAATGTCAAATCTTAAGTCAAATCTTAAGTCAGATTTGAATTTCTGAGAACACGTAGATGATTTTGAAAAAAAATTTAGTCAATTTGAAGCAAGTTGAAAACAGACCTTTTTGACCTTTTTTGACCTTGAGAAGGTCATTGAAGGTCAAATGTCAAATCTAAAGTCAGATTTGAAGGTCAAATGTCAAATCTAAAGTCAAATCTAAAGTCAGATTTGAATTTCTGAGAACATGTAGATGATTTTGAAAAAAATTTAGTCAATGTGAAGCAAGTTGAAAAAAGACCTTTTTGACCTTGAGAAGGTCATTGAAGGTCAAATGTCAAATCTAAAGTCAGATTTGAACTTCTGAGAACATGTAGATGATTTAGAAAAAATTGAAGTCAGTCTAAACAGTATTTGTAAAGTTATAGGAAGTTGTAAGAAATTGTTACAGACGCCGGACGCCGGACGCCAACCTCCAACCACCAACCGCCGTCACAAAAAAAACGGAGACCATAACAATATGTCACCACTTTTGGTGGTGACATAACAAGGAGACAGGCATGGATATGGTGGAAATAATATGGAACAAGGCATTAACATGACAAAATGTCACCACCTTGTTGCTAACAATATTATGAGCTCAATCTTAGTCAGATTTTAATTTCTTAGAACTTGTAGATGATTTTGAAAAAATAAATTGGTCAATTTGAAGCAAATTGCAAAAAGACCTTCTTTGACCCTGAGAAGGTCATTGAAGGTGGAATCTTTTTTCAAATCTATAGTCAGATTTGGACTGTTGAGAACTTGTAAATGATTTTTTAAAAAAAGACTGGTCAATTTGAAGCAAGTTGAAAAATACCTTTTTGACCTTTTTTGACCTTGAGAAGGTCATTGAAGGTCTAATCTCAAATCTAAAGTCAGATTTGTTCTTCTGATAACATGAAGAAGACTTTGAAAAAGAAATTGGTCCATTTGAAGCAAGTTGAAAAATACCTTTATTGAAGCTCAAAATTAAAATCTAAAGTCAGATTTGAACTTCTGATAACTTGTAGATCATTTTGAGAAAAATTGGTAATTTGAAGCAAGTTGGGAACCTTTTTGAGGCTAAAAAATCCATGAAGACCACCCCAAATCACTTGCCCTGAAATCATTTTTCACTCGGATCATATGATTCTACAACTGTGCCAAGTTTGTTGCTTTCCTGAAAAAGCCGAACAAAAAAGGACATCTGACCCCGCTAAAGGTCATTGAAGGTCAAATCTCAAGTTAGATTTGAACTTCTGATAGCTTGTAGATGATTTGAAAAAAAATTGGTCAATTTGAAGCATGTTTAAAAAAGACCCTTTTGACCTTTTTCGACCTTGAAAAGGTCATAAAAGGTCAAATCTTAAATAAAAAGTCAGATTTGAACTTCTGGAAACATGTAGATGATTTTGAAAAAATTTGAAGTCGGTCTAAAACAGTATTTGTTAAGTTATTGGAAGTTGTAAGAATTTGTTACAGACGCCAATCGCCAACAGCCATCAAAAAAACAAAGACCATAACAATATGTCAATACTTTTTGGTGGTGACATAAAAATTCAGAGAAAATGAAAACAAGGCACATGATGTGAACCATCGAAAAACCTTCAAAATGCCCATCAGAAAACAAGATGGCTGCCCAAAAGTTATTCAGCTTTTGAACATGATGTCCTCCATCATGTGTGTGAATTTGGAGAAAGTCAGATGAGCGGTTTTCCTAAAATGGTGATGACAAGATTTATCGAAACACCTTAAAAAAGGCCATCAGAAAAAAAAACAAGATAGCCCACCAAAAAGTTAATCAGGTCTAGAACTTAATATCCTCTATAATGTGTGCGAATTTGGAGAAATGACGACAGCAAAATTTATAGACAAATTTGTACAATATGTCCCCACCAATGGGTGATCCAGTCAAATGGTTATCCTGAAAATGAGTAGACAAGACTTTACCGTTACAATTTTGGGACGGAAAATGCAAAATGGCCACCTTAAAATTAACCCAGAATGCCCAAGAATTAGTCAGCTCTAGATTTTCATACTAAGAACCAACCCTGAAAATTTGAAATTGATCCGTCAAACAGTTAAAGGGGTATTCCTTGCCAGACCATCTCTCTCCTAATATGGTAGCTATAACGATATACATACTTTGCAAATTTATCAAAAAACAGAAAAATGTTTTGAAATGGTCAATATTGATCACTAAAAAATGTAGTGCTCAATTCCAGTAGGCTGCCATCTTTTAAAATTTCACTCAGGAAGTGATGTCATCGACTCTCAACTTTGCATATAACATTAGGTAAGGAGCTATTAGAAATACTAAACCAGCTGAATATTTTTTTCAATTTGGTCTATGATTAAAATCCTTTTGATGATCTCTTCTTTAGTTCTAAGTTGACAACTCCTGAAAATATTTTTACACAGAAGATAAGGGCTTCTTGTTTAGAAGTGATTTTGTACTTCTTTCCTATACTGTAATAGGCAAGGTTATAACAGGTGAGAGTCGATGACATCACTTCTTGGAAGAAATCTGAAAAGATGGCAGCTTACTGGGAATGAGAACTACATTTTTAAATGATCAATATTGACCATATGAAAAAAAAATCCTGTGTTTTGCTAAATATGTGAAGTATATACATGTATATGATTGTATCTACCATATCAGGAGAGAAATAGTCTGGCAAGGAATGTTCCTTTAACCAGAAAACGCCTAAACAAGATTTTACAGACAAGATTTTAGGACGGAAAAATGCAAAATGGCTGCCTTGATATTTGCTCAGAATGCTAAAAGACTAATCAGTTCTAGATTTTCATACAAAGAATCATCCCTGAAAAGGAGCACGTAGGTTATCGCAAACAATTTCAAACGATTCTAACTTGAATTATGAATATTTTCTGTTCATGAACATGGGTGTATCTTTTAGATCCATTCATTATCTTCAAGAAAAGTATATACAGTATAATGATAATTTAGTTAATCAGACCTAAGTGATATTGAAGGGGCAATGGACCAATCAACATACTTTTTCAAAAATGCTGACCCAATTTTCACCAAAAATGCATCCTATTATTGTTGAATGCATAATTAGAATGTGCTTTGGGACATGTTCGATTTCCTAAAAGGGACTTTAAAGATATTCAATTCGGATGACCAAAATGAACTGAAACCAATGGATAGCATGAGATTTTTCAAAGGAGAAATAACATGGGGGACACTTATCTTAATTTTCTTCCAAGATCTATTTGATACATCAAAATAAAGAATAGTAATGCATTAAACATTGTAAAAAATGATTGCATTTTTGGTGTAAATGGGGTCAACATCTTTGAAAAAGTGTGTTGATGGGTTAATTGTTAAATATCTCAGAGTTTGTTTGAATTTATTATTACTGTGCATAATTTTCTTTGAGATAATGAATTGATCTAAAAGATAAACTTGTCTTCATTGTCAGAAAATAGTCATAATCCAAGATATAACCTTCTGAAATTGTTTGCGATAACCCACGTGCTCCTTTGAAATTGATCTACCAAACGGTTCAACTGAAAACGCGAAGACAAGACTTTACAGACAAGATTTTAGGACGGAAAATCCAAAATGGCTGCCTTGACATTTATCCAGAATGCCAAAAAACTAATCAGTTCTAGATTTTAATACATATCCCTGAAAATTTGAAATTTATCTAACAAACGGTTCACCTGAAAATGCATAGACAAGACTTTACAGGCAAGATTTTAGGATGGAAAAATCCAAAATGGCCAATAAAAAAATGATTATGAGTTTTTGGTGATTTCTTTTTACAAAATTATGGCATATAACTACTTTTAACAATAACATAGGCTTTTACAACAAAGTACACCTAAAATTATTTATAAAGCTACTAAATAGTTAAAGTTTGAAAGGATTGGTATCGATATTGAAAATTGAATTCAACAATGTTTTTGTCTTAAAGCTGGACTGCGCTCCGAAACGCAATCTTGGGTTGTTTCGGGGGTGAACTTTATCATTTTGAGCTTAATGAAAGATTATAGAATGATGAACAAATGGGGCAAATCTTGTGTAGAAATACTTACGATAAATGTGTCATTTCAAAGATTATTCATTGAATTGCTTCGATCGGCGCCGACGATATGATTTTGGAAAAGTTTCTAAATGAAGAACGTGACGTCACTTCCGAATCATAGCATTCAAAATAACTAGCGTTTAATTACTTCCAAGTTCATAAGAAGACGGTGGTCTAGGGGTACAATTCTCGCTTAGCACGCGGGAGGCCCGGGTTCGAATCCCGCATTCGCCTTTTTATTTTTTTTAACAAAATGATTGCTCTTTGATATAACGCAGAAAAAAACAATTTTTATTTACATAAACTTTATATTAGAGCTTAAAAAAGTAAAAACAATATATGTCAACATATTGCGTTTTGGAGCGATGTCCAGGTTTAAACAAATCATTGAAAACATTCTGTAAAAAAACACAGTATTTTATGTAATGTTGACTGATTGAAAACAATTTAATGCGAAAATTATTTAGAAATATTTTATGTAACTGTTTTTGAACATTTTTTGTTTTTTTAGTGCAATTGTTTTTGCTCCTTTCTACCAATTCTTGAGAATGAAATAAAATGTTTTTCCGAACCTTGTTGGAACAAAATAGCATATACAACATGTTTTTAGACCTCTCAATATTATAGTTATACAAAGAAATTTTTGGTTGATTTCAAAAAAGTATTCAAAAATTAAAACAAAATCCCCTAAAATAGATAAAAATCAAGAGTAACTTTTATTTTATTAACATTAGATACTTTTTTATAATCAACCAAAAGTTCCTTTGTACAATTACAATATTGAGAGACCTAAACATGTTGTGTTTATGTCCTTTTGTTCCATTGAGGTTTGGAAAGATGTTTCATTTTACTCTGGAAACATGATACCAAGAACAAAACAAGTGTTTGATGTGTTTTCTAAAACAAGAAAGTACAGGGTGTGCCAAAAAAATTTGCAATTTTTTAATTTTTTTTGAAAGGCTGGAATAGTATAAACATTAAGGTATTGACATAAAACTTTATTTACAGAAACTTAAGGAGAGGTATATTTTACCATTCAAATATTAAGGCTAAAACTGACATATGAAAAATGCACCATTGATAATTCAAAGATCTGACAAAAAAAGCCAGTATTAGCTTAAGTATTTGAATGGCAAAATATGCCTCTCCTACTAAAGTTTCCGTAAATAGAATTTTTGTCAATACCTTAATGTTATGATACTTTTCTAGCCCTTTAAGGCGACGCTATATTAAATAAAAAAAGTACAAAAAATGACTGCCATATTTTTTTGATAAAGACACATGTTTTTAAAATCTGTTTACCTTGTATATGAATTGTGTATCTTGACTAATGAAACATGTCAAAGTTAACAAAAGTTTTCCAAACTATGAATTGGAGGTGCATGGATCCTCAAAGCTAGCATGAAGAGTGCGAAGTGAGGCTAATTTTTGAAGGAGTTTCAAGGAGTAGCCTTGCAACAGTCACACATTTGCAAGAGTCTAAAATTTCCACAAATCATCTTACCTTTCCCAGGAACAACGAAGGAGCATGAAAATGTGCACTTCTTGCATTGTTAGAGTATAATAAAGCTCAAACCATTGTAAATTCTAAATATTTCATGTCATATCGATACCACTCCTTTCAAAAACACCATTCAAATATGATAAAAATTATTATCGCTCACAAACTTTTCTTAAGACGATTTAGAAAGGCTGCCATGACTGAGCTAACAGGTCCAAAACTTAATCAGATGTAGAATGAAGTGAGCTGAACAAGATGTTAAAGTTTTTAAAGCAACTGTGAAGCTGTTTTTCTTAAAAGTTTGTAGACAAGGAATTTAGCATTTGAATTCAAAATGGCCGACAGAAGTAGATATCGAGATAAATTTTTTTATCCACATCTTTATGCACTCATAAGTTGTCGGACGGACAGACAGACAGACAGATGGATGGACAGACAGACCGCCCCGCCTAGGCCGACAATATGGCCCCACACTATGTGGTGGGGACATAATAAAAGTTGAACCAAATTTGTCAACTGGCATTCTATTTATCAAAGATTAAATTCTTTTATGAAAAATGGTGGCCATTTTGAAGTTTGTCTATCATCAAAATTCTTTCTGATACAGAGCTAATGTGTCCTTAGGCATCAGCATATAAAATTTGAACAAATCCGTTCACTAGTATTTGAGTTATCAAAGATTACATTTTTTCCTATAAATGGCGGCCATTTTGTAATAGATCCACTATCTTGAAAATTCTTTCTGAAACAGAGCTACTGTGTCCTTAGGCATCAGCATATCAAATGTGAATGAGAGGTCCTACAACCATAAGGCATAAGCCTATAAAATTTTAATCAAATCTGCCCACCGGTATTTGAGTGATCACCCGGATAGACGGATGAACCGATGGACGGCTTTCCTATATCCCCCTCAAACTTCGTTCGTGGGATGAAAAAACCAGTATAAGCACCATTATGTACAACGGTTGAGATTGATCAACTAAGAAAATAGAAACCTGATATTGGGCAAGTCTAGGAGGCAGCACAAGTCCAGTGTTGTCCCCATGTACCATTGCAAGCACACCAATTGTCCTAGTTGTGATTCCCCATGAATTCTGGAAGACATATTGCTTTTCCTGGGTTTCTGGGTCATCAAAGACAATCTCAAACATCTTTGAGAAATTCTGCCCTAAGTGATGAGATGTTGCTCCCTGTAACAGATTAAAATATGTATCACAATATCTACATTTCTTAGAATATGTTGTTACAAGTAATGATAATTCCCGCATTTTATAAGCTCTTCACAATGTCTCATTACATTTTTCCATGATATTTAGATTCTTAAAATGTGCATAGAAAGCTCAAACCTTTATAGACAGATTTTTAACAACATCAGGAACCAATATCGCCCCCTTGAATGAGTTCTTTATAGATTTATGCAACACAACCTTATATAGCTAATTCAAAAGCTTGGATGAGACTTCAAAAACAAGATAAATTCACGAAGTAAAACCAGCAAAAATTGCATAAATCACAAAAAACACAACAAAAGTTATTCATTGCGGCTCATAAGAGCTTGTTCTCAAAGAAAGTATTGGTCCCCTAAAGTTATTTCAGAAAACTCATTGTCATTTTCTTGGAAAAATTGGCAGAACTCCCATTCCAGGGCTGTCTGAATATGGGTACACACTATTTTTACAATTAAAATAGTACCAAAACTTGTTATTATCTGGAATTTATTAAATAAATAGTCAGCAAACTACTCTACAACATGAACAAATATATTGAAACTGTATAATTATATAGAGTGGCTGTAAAGGAAGTTCTTTGCAAATACCATTGTTGTAGAGTTAGGATCTACTTTTGTTTACTTTTGTAAATAAAATTAGTACCGTGGGTACTGGGCTCACATGGTGTTGCTCAAAAGTGAAAACCAGAACAACGGCAACGCCAAAGCGTAGCGAATCCCATCGAACAGAAATGGCTGGCATTTTTACAAACGAAATATACAGCAAATATCATAAAAACACACCAGAAAGGCCACCATTTTCAAAATGGTTGCTCACTAGCCAAGTTGTAATCAGAAGAAATAATATGCTTTTTAGTAGCCACCTCTAAAATTCTTGAAAAATTGCACACATGTACTTGTAAAATGGTGGCCATTTTTCAAAATGGCCGACTACACCCCAAAGTTTTATTAGACAATGTGCCATGCTTAGAGTATTCACATATCAAATATGAACAAAATCGCTCCACTACTTTTCGAGTTATAGTAAAAAATGTAAAAATGACAGCCATTTTTTAAAATGGCCACCTACTATCTGAAGTGTCATGAGACAGTGTGCAAGGCTTGTGAGTATTCACATATCAAATATGAACGAAATCTCTTCACTACTTTTCAAGTTATAGTAAAAAACGTAAAAATGGTGGCCATTTTTCAAAATGGCCGCCTACTACCTAAAGTGTCTTTAGACAGTGTGCCATGCTTTTAGTATTCATATACCAAATATAAACAAAATCGCTCCACTACTTATCGAGTTATAGTAAAATACGTTAAAAAGGCGGTCATTTTTCAAAATGGCCACCTTCTACCAAAAGTGTCATAGGACAGTGTGCCATGCTTATAGTATTCACATACCAAATATGAACAAAATCGCTCCACTACTTTTCGAGTTATAGTAAAATACGTTAAAATGGCGGCCATTTTTCAAATTTTTTTTTCAAAATGACCGCCTTGTACCAAAAGTGTCATATGACAGTGTGCCATGCTTATAGTATTCACATACCAAATATGAACAAAATCGCTCCACTACTTTTCAAGTTATAGTAAAATACATTAAAATGGCGGCCATTTTTCAAAATGGCCGCCTTGTACCAAAAGTGTCATAGGACAGTGTGCCATGCTTATAGTATTCACATACCAAATATGAACAAAATCGCTCCACCACTTTTCGAGTTCTAGTAAAATACGTTAAAATTGCGGCCATTTTTCAAAATGGCCGCCTTCTACCAAAAGTGTCTTTAGACAGTGTGCATTGTTTTTAGTATTCACATACCAAATATGAACAAAATCGCTCCACTACTTTTCGAGTTACAGCAAAAATCGTAAAATAACGAGTGTAAAGGCCGCCATTTTTCAAGATGGCTGCCATGTGCTTTTTTAATATCTACATTTGTAGCTTTATTAATGTCCTTTATAATTTTTTTACACTAAAAACATATTGCTATTACAGTTTTACATATTGCACCTAAATTACTGTAAAATCGGCACTAAAATGGCCGCCATTTTGTAATGGGTGGCCATTTTGAAAATCGGCTTTCGAGCAGAACTTCTACCCCCATAGGGTATATGTGTACAAAATATGAACAAAATCGGGCGAACGGTATTTGAGTTATTGCCCGGACGGACGGACGGACGTACGTACGGACGGACAGACGGACGGACGGACGGAGGCGTTCCCTATATCCCTCCAAACTTCGTTCGATGGGATAATAAAAAAGACGGGTATAATAATTTGCAGATTTTTTGTGACAAAATTATTTCATACAACTACTCTTTACAAAGACATGGCTTTTTACAATGCAGGACACCTGAACTTATTTGTAAAGCTAGGAAATGGGCCAAAAGTGAATTTCCCGAGACAAAAATGGTGGCCATTTTGAAATTAGGCGAGATTTTGAAGCAGGAGTCACAGGTTTTTTTTTCTTTATTGATGTTGAACAAAATTATTTTAAATCAGGAATCCTATCTACAGAGGATTTAAAAAGTGTTGACAGAGGTTTAAAACTTGCCACTTTTTTGGACTGACTGAGAGACAGATGGACGAATCTATGTTAACTAAAATGGCTGAAAATAAAAAAACTGATATAATATTTTGCCGACTTTTTGTAACAAAATTATTTCATACAACTACTCTTTACAGTGACATGGCTTTTTACAATGCAGGACAGCTGAAATTATTTGTAAAGCTAGGAAATGGGCCAAAAGTGAATTTCGCGAGACAAGAATGGTGACCATTTTGAAAATAGGCGAGCTTTTGAACCAAGAGTCATATGAGAGTTTTTTGTATTGATGTTGAACAAAATTAACTTAAAACAGGAATCCTATCGACAGAGGGTTTAAGGCAAATGGTCCAAAAGTGGATTTTGCGAGACAGATGGACAAATCAATGTTAACTAAAATGGCTGAAAATAAAAAAAATGGATATAATTTTTTGCTGATTTTTCGTAACAAAATTATTTCATACATCTACTCTTTACATTGACATGGATTTTTACAATGTAGGACACTTAAAAATTATTTGTAAAGCTAGGAAATAGGTCAAAAGTGAATTTCGCGAGACAAAAATGGCGGCCATTTTGAAAATAGGCGAGCTTTTGAGCCAGGAGTCATAGGGGAGTTTTCTGTATTGATGTTGAACAGAAATAACTTAAAACAGGAATCCTATCGACAGAGGTTTTAAAATGTGCCACTGTTGTTGACGGAAAAGTGGATTTCACAAGTCAGATGGACAAATCAATGTTAACTAAAATGGCTGAAAATAAAAAAATAGATATAATTTTTCGCTGATTTTTTGTAACAAAATTATTTCATATATCTACTCTTTACATTGACACAGATTTTTACAATGTAGGACACCTGAAATTATTTGTAAAGCTAGGAAATGGGTCAAAAGTGAATTTCGCGAGACAAAAATGGCGGCCATTTTGAAAATAGGCGAGCTTTTGAACCAGGAGTCATAGGGGAGTTTTCTGTATTGATGTTGAACAGAAATAACTTAAACAGGAATCCTATCGACAGAGGTTTTAAAACGTGCCAGTCAAAAGTGAATTTCGCAAGACAAAAATGGCGGCCATTTTGAAAATAGGCGAGCTTTTGAACCAGGAGTCATAGGGGAGTTTTCTGTATTGATGTTGAACAGAAATACCTTAAAACAGGAATCCTATCGGCAGAGGTTTTAAAACGTGCCACTATTGTTGACGGACAGACAGACAGACAGACAGACAGACAGACAGACGGATGTTAACTAAAATGGCTGAAAATAAAAAAAAATGGATATAATGTTTTGCTGATTTTTCGTAACAAAATTATTTCATACATCTACTCTTTACATTCACATGGATTTTTACAATGTAGGACACTTGAAATTATTTGTAAAGCTAGGAAATAGGTCAAAAGTGAATTTCGCGAGACAAAAATGGCGGCCATTTTGAAAATAGGCGAGCTTTTGAGCCAGGAGTCATAGGGGAGTTTTCTGTATTGATGTTGAACAGAAATAACTTAAAACAGGAATCCTATCGACAGAGGTTTTAAAACGTGCCACTGTTGTTGACGGAAAAGTGGATTTCACAAGTCAGATGGACAAATCAATGTTAACTAAAATGGCTGAAAATAAAAAAATAGATATAATTTTTCGCTGATTTTTTGTAACAAAATTATTTCATATATCTACTCTTTACATTGACACAGATTTTTACAATGTAGGACACCTGAAATTATTTGTAAAGCTAGGAAATGGGTCAAAAGTGAATTTCGCGAGACAAAAATGGCGGCCATTTTGAAAATAGGCGAGCTTTTGAACCAGGCGTCATAGGGGAGTTTTCTGTATTGATGTTGAACAGAAATAACTTAAAACAGGAATCCTATCAACAGAGGTTTTAAAACGTGCCACTATTGTTGACGGACGGACAGACAGACGGACAGACAGACGGACAGACAGACGAACGGACGGACGGACAGACAGACGGACAAGTGAGCGATTGCAAAAGCTCACCATGTGAGCTAATAAAAAACATTATCTTTGATAACACCAATACCATTGAATGGATTTGGTTCAAATTTTACATGCTGATGACTAGGGACATAGGAGCTCTGTTCGAGAAGGGATTTTCAAGATGGCAGCTAAATTTCAAAATGGCTGCCATTTTTCATAAAAGAATGTAACCTTTGATAACTCAAATACCAGTTGGTGAATTTGCTTCAAATTCTATATGCTGATGCCTAGAGACAAAGAAGTTATGCTCAAGAAGACATTTTCAAGATGGCCACTGAATTTCAAAATGGCCGCCATTTTTCGCAAAAAAAACACATAATCATTGATAACTCAAATACCAGTGAATGGATTTGGTTCCAATTTTATATCCTGATGTTTAGGGGAATAGGAGATCTGCTTCAGAAGAAATTTCAAAGGCGTCAGCTGAATTTCAAAAT